CCGCTCTGGGCTCTGGGTTCTGCGAGATACACTGGGGAATCGAGGGAGGAGGAATATGGGAGGGGGAGAAGATGGGAGGAGTAGGAGCGGAAGCGAAAAGTGGAGGGAGAGAGATGGACAGAGGAGTAGCAAGGAGAAGCGAGAGATCTAGAGGGAGAAGGGGGAGGGGAGTAGCAGAGATGAAGAGAAAAAGCTTTACCTTCAAGGGCACCCCGAAGGAGGCGCCAGTCCTCCCTCCATGCCTTTCTGTAGCCCCTCAAGGCCAGAAGCTCAAATTTCACTTCCCTGGTCAAGCCGTCTGAGATTTTCCAAATATTTCATGCACATTTCAACCTATGTGTGTAAATTTCTTTAAAGTTTTACTTATTTTTAACCAAAAAGGATTTAAATCCTCAAGTGACTTCTGCCTCGATAATAGCAAAGAACAAATCAGATTCCGTATTAGATCTGTTCCTTTGACTTTAACCCTGTGCTCTGTTTCCAAGGCTTAGTCTTGTTGGTTCTGCACCTTTTATAAAACAATGTTGCCTAGAGCCTGAAATATATTAGAGAAACTCTTCTCAAGGCTTTGACCTTTAAGGATATTAACACTTTTCCATTCTTATAAAGATAACATGTTGTAGAACAGAAAATAACACTTTTTTTGTTGGAGGTTTACAGGGATCTGACCCAGGTGTACAGCTGCAACAACAAAGGATTCTAACAACAAAGGATTCCTACACCAAGATGTTCCCAACAACCAAGCACACCCCCTTCCCCTTTTTAATATAAAAGGAGCCTGAATTGTGACTAGGGGAAGATGGTTCTCCAGGACAATTACTCTGCCATCTCCTCAGTCAGCTGGCTTTCCAATTAAAGACGCTATTTCTTGCCACAAAACCTGGTCTTCCAATTTATTGGCCTGTTTTGCAGTGAGCAGAATGAGTTTGGACTCAGTAACACAACCAAATATTGAAAGTATTCATTTGGTATATTAAATTACTTGCTTCTGCTGGTCTTTCTTCCTGACTTTTTCTTTTCTTGACCACTGCTGCTATGTTTATGAATAATCTGTCTGTCTGCTCTTGTGGACACATTTACATCTCTAGCCACTACCCTTCCAGATAAGAACTGATGTCCCCAAAATTGCTAAGAGATATTACATGGTCAGAAAAGACCAGAAGTGTGTACTGGCTGATGTTCAGGAGCAGGCTGGGACACTTGACAAGATGTCATAAGCATGGATAGACAGCTGGGCACCAAAGGAGAAGCTTCTAAGCCTCCATGAAGGACTTGCTGGATAAGAAGGAAAAGTCCCAGATTGTAGATCTGATTTCACCATGAGCTTCCTGGGTGAGGCTCGGCAAGTCATTTAAGTTCTCTAGGCCTGTGCTGTCCAACATGTGAGCCACCAGCCACATGCAGAATTATGAAGTTATTCTGTAGCCAGGCAGATTTATAAATAAACATTTTACAGCAAAGGCTCAGAATGTATGATGTTTAGAAACACTAGTGGTTTTCTTGCCCTAACTGGTTATTTTTATATGTCTAGCTTTCTGTGGTTTGTAACGCCTGTGACTAATGATTCCCTTATACTGAGGTATTTTGAAGTTATAAGTTACTGGACACAGTACCGTCATATCACAGTTGGAAAAAAGATCCACATAAGCCAGGCCATTTGATTTATTTGTTATGAGCAGTGTCTCGTGGGCCATCCTGCCTGAGTATAAATTCTCACTCTGCCTCTGGGGGATTCTGTGTGAATCTTGGGGAAATTTTTTATTATTATTTTTGTTGATGTTGTTATTATTTTATTATTTGTGCCTCTTTTTCCTCTTAATGGTGAGGAATATGTAGACTCTATCTCCTACTGTGCTGGCAGAATTAAGTGATTTAACGTCTGTGCTGCCTACTTCCCTGGGTTTCAGCATTCTCCAGGCAATCAGTTTCAAACCTGGAAGCATTCTCCATGGTCTTAGTCAGTCTGGGATGCTGTAAAAAATTACCATGGGTCAGGTGGCTTAAACAACCAGCATATTCCTCAAGTTTTGGAGGCTGAGACATTCAAGATCAAGGTATCTGGGAGAGGATTGCCTTCATGGCTTGAAGATGGCTGTCTTCCCACTATCTTCATGGGGTGGAGAGCTGAGAGAAGCAAGCACTCTGGGGCCCCTTATAAGTGCCCTAATCCCATTCATGAGGGCTCTACTCTCTTGACCTCATTTTATCCTACTAATCACCCTCCAAAGGCCCCGCCTCCCAATACCATCACCCTGGGAGATGGGGTTTCGACATATGGATTTTGAGGGGATGCAAACATTCAGTCCACACATCAGCTAACTCTCCTCAACATACAGTCATCAAACCTGTAGCTAATTTCAAAGTAATGTTTATATCTCTCGGCCCATTTCCATTCCTACATCCACTAACACTGAAGCCCTGTTATATTTTATTCCTTATTTTTCTGGTAGAGATTTAATTGATTCCTCTACTCCAATGCTCTCCTTACTCCAAACAGTCTGCTTAACAGCCCTGCCAGGTAGGTCTTCCTGAAAACACCTTCCCACTTCGCCTGGTTGTTTTTTAGGTGTAAATGTCAGAATCCTCTCCAAACCCCATCCTAGACCTTTAATCCCTTACATTACCACTCAGTATGTTATTTTTCTATTACCACTGTAACAAATTTCCATAAGCTTAATAGCTTAAACCAGCACAGATTTATCACCTTATGGCTTTGGAGGTCAGAGATCCAACACAATACTCATTGGGCTAAATTCAAGTTACCAGCAGGGTGCCTTCATTCTAGATGGTCTAGAAGAAAATGTTTCCTTGTTTGTTTTTTTCCAGTTTCCAGCAGTCACCCACCGCCTTAGCTTGTGCCCCACGACTTCCTTCATCTTCATGGCTAGCAGCCTTTATGAACATCGCTCCATGGCTGCACCTCCCTCTGATACTAAACTCAGATGGGAAATGTCCTATGCTTGTAAAGATCCCTGTGATTACACTGGGCCCACCTGGAAATTCCAGGTTACTCTCTCTATCACCTCATCTCAGGATCCCCTTGTCCCACCCCACTGAGGCATTATGTATGTGGCTGTGACACTCACCTTGGGTAATATTTCCTCTCATGAGCAATTAAATGTTCAAGACACTTGTGAACGGCTTTTTGTTTGTCTTCCTTAGTCTTTCCACATTCAGTACGTCTGGTGAGATTATACAAATCCTGTTTATTTGTAACCTGGCACTAATCTTTAACAGCATATTATGGGTTTAAAAGGCTAATAGCCAATTTAGAAGTAAAATCCTCTAAGATTTTTTAAGATTTTTGTCCTAAAATGCATGTCATCCCTTTTAATGTCTACAGTAACATGTCACAGGTGGCCTCCCTGTGGGGGTGTGGGACATATTGTTCTGCCACCACAGTCCCTTCATTCACACCAACGTGCTGGTTTCCTAACAGAGGATCTATGCTCCCAGCTTTGCTCACTTCCTCCTCCTTTCCATTGACCATCCTGTTCCCAC